TCAAAAAAAAAGACTAAATATGAAACATATTAACTTAATTATTGTCATAAATAAAGGCTTGGAAATATTTAATTCAATTAGGTTTGTAACTTTAATTCTTTTTCATAATAAAAACATCAAAAATAGAATTTAGGTTTAATAACTTTTTATTTTCTTTTTAATTTTCCTTTTTTTTTTAGAATAACAATAGTATTTATTTATTATTTTATTTTCATAAATTAAAAATTGTACAAATTAATTTAGAGTTTAATTTAGGTTATAATTTAATCCTTTCATAATAAACTTAAAAAAATAATAGAATTAGGATTTACCTTTTAATTTAATCTCAATTAACTTCTGTTTCTTTTAAATCTTAAAAAATACAAAAAATACCAAAAACACTAAATTTTTAACTTTAATTCTTATTAATTTAATTATTCTTGCAAAAAGGGTCCAACGCCCGTCACTGTTAATTATTTAATTTCGCGCACTTATTTTATTGCTTATTATAGTTTTGTAATTGCCCCGAAGCATTGTAATAATTTAACTTTCCGCACTTCTTTATATTGCTTTCTTTATTTTCCGCTAAATCGGGTCCTGGAAATTTGGCGATGTGGACCCGCGCCGTTTGTAATAATCTTAGATTTATTTCCTCGCAAAATATTTAACTGTTAATCAAGCATGAAAGAATGAATGTTTAATTAAAATCAAGCGTAGAACACGACAAGCATGACAAGACAAATAACTGAAACATGACACACAATTCGCACACACCACCCCTAGGGTACGCCTCACTGTTGCCTTTCGAAAGGTGGTCGTCGAGTAGAAAACGTCTTAGTAAGTCCTCATGATCCGGGAACCTGGCATGAGGGTAGCTTCTAAGGTGTCTTCCCATTGCTCTGGTGATCACCATGTCCCTAAAATCGAATTGACCCGAACACCTCCAACGGTGGTGCTACCTACCTCTCAATGGTGGGATGGCACTACTTTTAAGGACATTTACACAGACGAATTCCTTAGGGTAGGTAGGTTCTCAAGGATACTTGCTCTCTTCAAAAACAAACAAAAATCTTTTCACCAACACATTTTCAAAAGCTTTCAAAGCAAATTTTTCAAACACTCTGACGTATGAGTCGAACTGAAATTTTTCAAAGAAACTTTTTAAACCCACATTGAAAAGCAAACAAATATTTTGAAAACACATTGAGCAAGTATCTAAGAGCCCATGGATAACCATGGATAGAAAGGGTGCTAACACCTTCCCTTTCTATAATCTACCTCCCGAACCGAGAGCAATCTCTTTAAGGAATTTTTCTGTGCTTTTGTCCTTTCCATTTGGAGAAAATAAAAGACGGTGGCGACTCTTGCTTCCGCGACATTTCGCGAACCAGCGTTAAACAGTCAGTTCCAGATCCACCGATCACAGTCAGTTTATAAACTTATGGTATAAGTGTTTGTGGCTAGGTTTTCCAAGCTTATGGATAATCTCATTTCTTATAATCAACGTGTTTTCCTTAAAGGGAGACTTTTGGTTGACGGGGTAATTGAAACAAATGAGTTTGTTTACTTGGAAAATAAAACCAATAACTTTTTTTCTAGTTGAAAATAAAACCAAGAGAGAATATATTTTTTTCAAGTTGTAAATAAAACCAAGAGAGATTAACTTATTTTCAAGTTAAATATTGAAAAGGCATATGATTGTGGGAGCTAGAGTTTTTAGATTATATGCTTTCTAGATTTAGTTTTAATGATAAGTGATGTGCCTAGAAGTGTGCTTGCATTTTTATTGTGACTCTTGTTGTATTAGCTAATGGATGTCCAAATCAAGAGATTATTATTCAAATGGGTTTGAAGTTAGTAGACCCTTTAGTCCAGTTAATTTTTCTACTCGATATGGTAGGTTTCAGTAGTCTATTTAGTTGGTCTTTGGAGTAGGAACTTTTTTTTCATCTAGTTTTAGGGTTGCTTCCTCTAACTTTATGATCTCTCATATGCAATACGTGAATGATACTCTAATCTCAGTAGACACTTCCATATATAATCTTTGTATTATTAAAGCTATTCTCGGGTATTTGAGCTTTCTTCTAAGCTAAATGTTAACTTTACAAAGAGTAGCCTTGTCGGGATTAATGTTGACCCGACATTTTTGGATTTAGCTAGTCACTTCCTTCATTTTTACCATCAAACCCCTTCCCTTTCAAGTACATTGGCCTTCTTATGCGAGATAATCCCCTCCTTGAGACCACGTGAGAGCCTTTAATTAATCTTCTTACATAGAGGATGCTATATTGAATTCATATGTATACTAGCTTTGGGTAGACGTGATCTCCTTAATTTTGTTCTTAATTCAATCTTTATTGTTTTATTGTCTTTTTATAAAAATGCATGTTAAGTGTGGAAGAGGATAGTCAAGGATTAAAGAAGATTTTTATGGGGTGGTGTAAAAGGAGAAGCTAAAATTCCTTGAGTTAGATTTTTTTATAATTGTTAACCTAAGAAGAAATGTTGGCATGGGGTTTGTGATCTTATCAATGTTAATATAGATTTGTTAGGTAAGTGTCGTTGAAGGCTAATCTCATATGTTTTTAGTTTGTTTCTAGATATTTTATGCATTATATATGAGGATCACGTTATTCATTCCTTTATGTGGATAGGAATTCTACTCTTTAATCATCTTCTACCTAGTGGAGATAATTCTGTTTTTAAGGTTCTAAAGTTGACATTTCCTATGAATGGTATGTGCAAATTCTAGGGAGAAAGGTGAAGACAAGCATGCTCACCTCTTATTATGACGACACGTGGGTGGGAAGAATTTGTCCTAGAATAAGTTTTCATGGACTCTATCCTATTTCTATCAAACATGGGAGAAGGCACGTGACATTGATTTTTTTTTGATGAGGGACTTTGATTTGGGACCTTCAAGGGATGATATCCTTATTTGTGTGGAGTAGAAGTTGGTCAAAAACCTTTTTTTGATAATACATTGAACTATATTCTGTTTAGAGAGAAATCGTTGTTTTTGAAGACATGGAAAAGGTGGTTCTTACTTTATTGCACTGACTTACAGTTCCCATATTAATCTAAATCTCGGTGCCAATATCTCCGATAATAGTTTGAAACAAATTGTATCTTTAATTTGGTGTAGTTGACCCCCCTCTAAAGTGGCGGTCTTCTCTGGCCAAGTCCTCAAAGATAATATCTCTACGAGAGAGAATATGTTCAAGTGTTGTATCTTACTTGACCCTGACGATATTTTCTATAATTTATGGGATGGACATGTAGAGTATGTTTCTTACTTGTTTGTAACATGTCACGTGGTGACAAATTTGTGGTATATAACCTTTTAGGTGGGTTGGGTGGTCAATTGTCATGTCTAGGGATTTTCTCTTATTTTTTATGATCTTTTCTTCGTTGTAGGGGTGACTAAGGTCAGAGGTTCACTATTCTTTGAGATTCGTTGGTGTGATTTATCTAAAAATCTGAAATTATTCTATTTTTACAAATACGCATTTGAACAAGGAAGATTTGAAAGATAAATAATAATTTTTGCCTACTAATTAGATCTTGACAAGTCGTCGACTTACTCATGTATTTTTTTAAGCGTGTTTTCTCATGAGAGAGTGTTTTTTGTTTAGTCATTGGAAGATGTTATTTGTTGATTATGATTTTCAGTGTCGAAATCTAGCCCATTACCCATCGATGGCGTGGTTGATTTAGAATTTATTTTATCTTTTTCTTTCTTATGTTTCTGATTTTAAAATTCTAGTTAGATATATCTCGTGTCTATTGATTTATTCCTATGTGTATTTTTATGTGGATCTTTAGGAACCCCTCTCTCTCTCTCTCTCTCTCTCTCTCTCTCTCTCTCTCTCTCTCTCTCTCTCTCTCTCTCTCTCTCTCTCTCTCTCCCTCACGCACACACGCACGCACACACGCACAGACACACACACGCACACACACGCACACACACACACACACACACACACGCACATACACACACACACACACACACACATGAATTACACTCGCTCAATAACTTCACATCGGATCAATATCATTTAAAATTAATTGTTGGATTGAAACATAATATCATATAGATCATACCTATAAAGTTTGAGATTAATCTATAATGATTTACTATACCATCAAGATATCTAAAGATTAATGTCAAAATAGACTTTCATATAGTATTAATTTTAATGTAGTTCAATGACATAGTAAATCATTATAGATTAATCTCAAACTTTATAGGTTTGATATATATATGATATTATGTTTCAATCCAATGTTTAGTTCTAAAAAATATTATTCGATGTAAAGTTATTGAGTGAGTGTAATTCATAGTATAACTCTTCGAGTGTAATATATATATATATATATATATATATATATATATATATATATATATATATATATATATATATATATATATATATATATATATATATATATATATATATATATATATATATATATATATATATATATATATATATATATATATATATATAATATTAAAATCAACAATACCTAATAAAGGTTGTGATAAAAATTTAGTAACGCGGTTTCTAGTCTCAAATTCGTCACTAATATTACTTTTAATAAATAAATTTAAAATTTGCCTAAGAGATTTATTTTCTTCCTAAGTTTCATCATTAATTTGTTGTGTTTGTTTAGTAGAGATTTATATACAAAAAGTATACTCAAGAGTCAAAGTTTAATGGTAAAATATAATTAGATTGCATAAAATTTGTTTATAAAGTAATTATAATATATAAATATCAAAATATTGATTATTATATCCTAAAAAGCTACTAATTGTTATTTAAAATGATAAACAAATATAAAATGACGGTAAGAATCAGTGGTGAGGTGCACCATGCCATTCTCATATTATTTTCCTTGTATGTTAGTTATTTGAAGCCTTTTCTTTACTATAAATAAATGTAGCACTATCAATTTTCATCTTACAACAAAATAGTCCCTTGTAATTTTTCTCGAGTTTTATTTTTTTAACATCCATGGTGAATCATTTTTCAAATATCTCTAGAGAAATAGCTCCGAACAACGGACAGATCTTTCCTAGCAATCAATCACCAAATAGCCACTCCATGACATCTCAAGGTATCAACATTATTCTTATTATTTTCTTTTTAGTAATTTTATTATTATTACTACTTAATATGACATGTTAAATGCAGGGAAAAATCGTGAGAATAATATTGTTGGTGTTAGAAATAAATTAATAGTGCCTCATGCAACTTTCAACAACACCACATCTTTCATAACAGCAGCTCGATATGGCCGAAGGATGCCTTTGTTCCTCCTAGATTGTCCTAGATCACGTATGGGCCCACACAATATTGGTTCTCAAAGTTATGCAAATGGTTTCACAGATTCTTCAAGATACGTTTTTCATAATAGAAGGACACATCGACATTTTCCTTATTTGAATCGTACTAGAAATAACTTTCAAATATTGAATGATTATCAACTGATTTTGTCACAAAAGAAAGAGTTAAATCTTTTCAAGGATGACAACAATGCAACTCTCACAACCTCAAAAATTGAAACTTATGACGCACATGAAAATGATGACGAGAATTTGGATCTCTCACTTCACCTTTAAATCATGAATTTCTAATATTCTTTTAGTTTAAATTTGTTTCTTTTTTTTTCATAGTCAATCTTTATTGTATTTGTTCATTTCACCATATAATATAATGAATAATTTTTTTGTTACAAAGTCAATTTTATGTACTCATTCGTCTTGTTTAAAAAAATGTATTTGTGTTGAAAGTGTTTGAGCAAGCCAACTAACGCCAAAAACAAGAAAAAGGCAAAATAAAAGATTAATCTATATTAAATAAAGGCTTAAATATTATTTAGATAAAAGCTTGAATATCATTAATCTTTTCAATAAATTTTATTATAAAAATTAGGTATGTGTTGTATAAAATATGTGTTGAAAGTTAGTTTTAAGACATTTCTCTTATGAAGTTTAAATAATAAACAAGTCAATATTTTTTTTATAAAAAATGTGTTTACAAAGTTAACCACATAAATATTTACATTTAAAATTAGTTTATTAACAAAATCTTAAAAGACTATTTGGGTCAAATCAATTAATTTAAAACACTTCTTTTTATAAATGACCTTAAAACACTTCATTTTATAATTAACCCATAATAAAAAGATTGACATATACAAATACAATCATAGTTAAATGTCATTTATAATTATAATTATAGTTTCTTTTACTGTCGTTAAAATTTTTAGTTGATATATGACAATTCTTTATATTGTAAAAAATGTGAAATAAAGATATTTGTATATTTTACAAAAATTTAGAAGATGTTGATGAATAAAACTAAAGGGTTGTCTATATTATTTTAATAAATAATAAGGAAAGTGAATGTAATTTGTTCTTATATTTTTTTACAGGAATAAATTTAATGACTTTAATTAATTAAATAATATTCAATATAAAGAATAAATGATATTATATCTAAATTAAAAATTAACCACTTAACTAAAATATGAGCAATCAAATTTATTTGGTGTTTAATAAACTTTTATGTAAAATTCAGAAAATTAAACAGTTAATTCTTAATAGATAAAATAATTAGATTAAATTTTAAATTACTGATCTATTTAGAGTGAATAACATGAACAATATTTTAACAATCGCTTTTGAAAATAATATTATTCAAAATTAATATTTTGACAATTTGTCCTTATAGTTATTCTTTATACTTTATTATATAAAATTTATTTTTTATTTAAAATAATAAAGGTCTATTTTGTGAACAATTTTGTAAGCTCTATAATAAACACACCAAATATTTATAGCAAATATTATATCAAATATATTTTTATATTAAAAACATGTTAAAATAAGTTACTTTATTTCAAACTTAATCATAACCAAATTGTTTTTACAAAATCCATAGTTCCAAAGCCATGCCAAAATATACAAAGAAATTAAAACAATGGGCTAGATACCCCTCGATTTTTCTTTTTTCTTTTTCTTTTCCTAATTTCAATTTTTCTCTAAATAATATGCAACCAATCGTATCAATGAATTGATATTTTTTTATAGAATTTTCAGATATTATACTTCCTCTAATATGGAAGTTTTATGATGATTTTAGCTTAAATTAAACTAAATTTTAATGTTTTTTGATAGTTTACTTATTAAAGGCTGAGTATATCTAAAAAGTAAAAAGTTTTCTTGATGTTCTCTTGTACAAGGGAATTAATTATATAGAGATATTTAATATATTATAGTATAGATATAAATAATTAATAATTAAACATACATTCTCATAATTATGAAAATACATGCTTTTCAGTAGTTTATAGATATATCAAATTAGAATTTAATTTTAGGCAAAATACCATGTTCATATATAAATGTTATGGTTAGTAACGATGTCATTAAAGCTTATTACTAAATCAAATAATTTCAGATTAAATCAAATATCTTCTTTTTTTTTTTTGGTACAAAATCAAATAGTGATTAAACTATATATTAATTGTCCATATTCAGACAGCACTCCTTTGTACGTAAAGATATTAATAGTAAAGAATAATATAAATTAATTAAAGGGAATAACTTAAACTCTAGCTCTTCATAACATTATTGTTTTCATCTTTTTTTTAATTTCATTTTCAAATTGAATTTAAATAAAGAAACTTAAACACTTTTCAATACGGTCATATTATTAAATGAAAGTAGTTTTTTTATATCGGCATATATAGGAATACCAGCTTGTCTTCGTTAGAGGGGATCTCCGTGAATTTTTTTTGTTTGGATCTCTAAAAATGAAAAATTTTGTTCCCGTAGTGACGGAGATTGAGAACAAAGTCTTTCCGAAGATATTTCAGGGACGGAGGTGGCATAAATTTCCTTCGTCGGATGGAATTTCCTTCTAGAACACAATTTATATATAATTTTATATTTCTATATAGGTTTGTTTGTCATTTCATATAAATTATCTTATAAAAAATATAAAATATAAATGTATTGTTAGTAAAAGAGTGAGATCTAAATGATTATTTTAAATTTTTTTAAGTTTGAAATTTTGGTTGTCATGATATTCAATATTTTGGTTAAAATAATATATTTATCATAAAGAATTAATTTTTAAATTTCTTGTGGTTAGTTTTTAAAATTTTTACTATTAATTTGGTTTAAAATAATAAATAAATAAAATCATGTTTATGAATCTTCGCATGAACTTTGGAGATCCGTGGAAATCTGCAGGGACCTACAGAAACGGGGATGAGGGACAAAATCTCCCATCACGGAAATTAGTGATGGGGATGAGGAATAGATTCGAAAGCGGGGATTAAGATATGAATATATCTCCGTCCTTGCCACGTTCCATTGGCATCTCTAGGTGTAAATCAAAATTAAGATTCAAATTTTTTTTTAACTCTCTGTTTCTTGTCTTTTTTTTCCTTCAAATTGCAATAAATATATTCTTTTATTTTCATGAGTTATTTTAACGGTTAATGAATTTTTTGGTCTCTCTAAATATTTCTAAATATCTCAAACTTTGTTTTTAGTCTCTCTAAATTTTTTTTCAAAGAATGATCCTCCTAAAAATTTAAAATTTAACTTTTGATCCCTCATGACAAAGTCGTAGCTAAAATGATCTTTAAATCCGTCGTTAAATTAAAAACTGTCGTTAAAAATCATCGCTAAAATTGTCGATAAATTATAAAAATCGTTGCTAAATTGAAGAGGGACCAAAAGTTAAATTTTAAATTTTTAGGAGAATCATTTTTTAGAAAAAATTTAGAGACTAAAAATAAAATTTGAGATATTTAGAGAGACCAAAAAATTTATTAACTTTTTTTTAATGGAAAAACATATATCATTTATATATTAATAAATAAATAAAAAAGAAAAAAATAGAAAACTACAAAGAGTACTAATAGTACACACTAAAACAGCCAAAACCAGCTAAAGTTAAAAGACATAGTAAAAGAAATCTAACACCCCAAACCAGAATTTTAGATTCTCCTGCCATATTTTTAGAAGAAAAATAAACCATATTATCACATCTTTCATCAATAATCCTAAATATTATGATTTTAATTTTTTTTTTGTTATATCATCTAAATTGGCAAAAGAATGTAAAATAAAAGGATTATGGACGGAAGTGTTGTAAAAAGAAGGGGCTCTGTCTATTGTTTTGACGGAAATATTTGAAATATTTTTTTTTTGTTTTTAAAAATAATTTAATGTTATTATAATTGTTTAATTATATTTAATTGATATAATTATATAATAGTTAAATTATATTTAATTGATAATAAAATAATAATTAAAATATAAATAAAATACTAATTAAAGCAATTTTTTAATTCATTAAAATTAAACTAGAATTACAATAATCGATATTTATTGTCGATTTTGACTTGATCGTGGTAAACGATGGTTGGTTTCACATGAAGGACCTTATCCAGTTCGCATAGACTCTCTAAGAAGCTGATCATCATTTGATGACTGAGTAGAAAGCCCCGTGTCATATCCACCGCCATACATTTCCTCGACCATTTCCTGTATTGGTAAAGTCACTCGTCGTCGCACTGCTATAACTTAATTTGCTACCCTTGTTATTCCAGTTTTGTTAGGTGGTGGTAGGCATTGGGTGAGACATGAATGAGACGTAATGGTCTTGTGTTGAACTCGAGGTAAATTGTTGAATCTGGGAAAAAGGATTTGTTGTTGGGATGTTTGGTAGTTGAGGTCTTGTGAGGTAGTTTGTATGAATGGTGTTTGTGGTTGGGTGTATGATGTAGATTGGGAAAATTTTGGATTTTATTGTTGGGTGTTGCAAGGGGTAAGTAAAATGATGGATTTTGTTGATGATATGGTTGGCTGGGGGTATAAGGTTGTTGTGTTAGGATAAAAGATTGTTGAGTGTTAATGAAAGATTGTTGAGTGTTAAACTTATGTTGTTGGGTGTTAATGAAATGTTGGTACATTTTTGTAATTCATCTAAACTAATGTCTTTGCAATTTAACTTTCATTTCAAATTAAAGATAAGATTCTGGTACAACAAAATGAAAACAACATCGCGTACAACAACAACGCGATAAATAAATAAAACAACTAAACACATCAACATATCTAGGAGATTACAACCATCAATAAAATATCAGTTGGTTCAAGCATCATCATAAGGACTGAAGGTGCAAGAAACACTAGAAATGGGAGGTTTGAATTGGGTTGCACCAAATATAATCTATCTGCAACTCAAAACACAAAGATAACAAGTGAATAAAAATAGATGAACATAGTTATTTTTATCTTGGTTCACTGTTAACTAAGTTACTCCATCCCACCCACAAGGTGGTTTGCCTTATACATAAAGACTTAATCCATTATAATCAACCAGATTATCACATGCAACCATGATAAGTCCAACCAACCATATTGGAATCCTCAATAAGTCCGTTGATTCTTGTAACACCCCCTTTAAACTCCCGCTCAAATATATGGCATAATCGTAGTAAATTAGCATGTATATCAAAGAGGGTGTCACATGTACTTCACAATAATAACACAAACTACACCAGTCATGCTCATAACACACATTTAAAATCATGTTT